CACTTTTCCCACTGGCGCTTCAACACGGCTGATGAGGCCGAGTATCCTGCTCTTTTGGCACAGCGCATGGCCGCCCGGGTCCGAGTGTTCGTGCAAGAGTCCCGTCCCTCAGTCTTTCAGTCCGAGCTGCGCTTGCGTGACCTCGCCTCTGCTGCCGCGCAAAAGCAGCGTCGCCGCCACCCGCCTCTCTTGCCCGAGTTTGCAGAAGTCCTCTGGGTCCCCCGCGGCCAGTCGAGTCAGCCTCAGTTCAAGACCTTGACTACTCTCTCAACTAAGGGGGTAGATTCGGGAGAGGATAAGAGGCTGCCGGAGGATAGGTCCCAACCCGCTGCCCCTTCCCCTTTGGGTTTCCCTAGTTCCCCGGCCTTAGGGGTTAACACAACTAAAGAGACCCCAAGCCTGGGTCAGGGGGAGGAGGACTTCGTCAGGGTTGGGCGTTTCCGATCCCCGCAGGAGTTCTTCGACAGGGCTATCACTTTGGCACATCCTGTCGACACGGTCAACCCAGTGGACCAAAGCACCCTAGATGCAATCGACTTTTGCGCCAGTCAGTCTAAGCAACATGTGGACATGATCAGAAAACTTGCCATCTTGAAACTTAAATTGCTGATTAAAAAGCTTGCCCCAGAGGAGAGGCGCTTGCACCAGAGGCTGCCGGCCTCTGTTCAAAAGGTCGTTCGCAACAAGAATCTTCTGGCATGGCAGGCTTTGCTTCAGGAACACGGTTTTGACGACATGGATGTTTTCCGCTTGATGACTGAGGGGGTGCGAGTGACGGGCTCGCAACCTCACCCTCCAGCGTTCGATGTGAAGCTGGTGCCGGCGACGCTCTCTGTCCAGCAGCTTCGCGAAACGGCGAAGGTCCGTCGTCAGGCCATGATCCTTGACCGAGGCAGGCCGGGCGACCCTGAGCACCCGAGGCTCCTCCTGGAGTCGACAATGGAGGAGGTAGACCGTGAGTTTCTTGAGGGCCCATTTACGCAAGAGGAGGTGAACCAGGTCCTGGGGCATGACTCATGGTGCACCATGAGGCGTTTTGTTCTTGTCCAGGGATCCGAGAAAAAGCTGCGCCCGATCGACGACGCCAGTGAGAACCAGGTGAATGCAGCCTGCACCAGCACGGTGAGGTTGCAGCTGCAGGACCTGGACTACGTTTCGGCGGTTGCTCTGGCCATCAGTCGTCGCCTGGGGGCGTTGCCGGAGAGCGAGCCCTGGAAGGGGAAAACCCTTGACCTCTCCAAAGCCTACAAACAGGTTCCGCTTAGTCCACAGGACAGAGACCTGTGCGTCGTCTACTTCAAGGGCCCGGACGGTAAGGACCTTTTCTTTATCCCGAACGCCCTAATGTTCGGGGCTGTGGCTGCCGTCTACAGCTTCAACAGAATCTCCCGCAGTATTGGCTTCTTGCTGAATCGACTTTTGAAGATTCCTTCCTGCTGCTACTTTGATGACTTTCCGCTTTTCAGCCCGTCCTCTTCTGCCTGTGAAGCAGACGCATCAGCCAGTGAGTTCCTATCCCTCCTGGGGTGGGACCATGCCCAGTCGGGTTCAAAGGGCCTTCCCTTTGAGTCGTCCTTCGCAGTGTTGGGCACTGTTCTCGACTTGTCACAAGTCCACAAGGGGCAGATCACGTTGGTTAACAAACCAGGCCGTGTGGAGAGGATAGTTGAGGAGTTCACCCGGGCCTCCGAGGTTACTGCTGTGACTCGGCATCACCTACAGGTCCTCCAGGGACTGCTCAACTTCGCATCTGGTTTCCTTTTGGGTCGGGGGCTGAAGCACATTTGTAATGAGCTTTCCGACTTGGGCCAGTGGCCGCACCCGGCGGCGGTGGACACCCTGCGTGACATTGCAAAGAGAGCCGAGGATATCCTTAGGCACTCCCCGCCCAGAGTTCTTGCCGCATCCGCCATTTTGGAACCTATTTTCATCTGGACAGATGGAGCATGGGAGCCGCCGAGGGCAGGGGTTGGGGTTGTGTTCTTTGATTCCCTTTCGAGGGAGGGCAGGGTGTTCGAGGGATTAGTTCCGGATTCCTTCCTGCAGCAGTGGGCGTCTGAGCAAGGGCATGCCCGGGATGAAGCCTTCCTCATTTGTCAGATTGAGCTTTTCGTCTTATCCTGGGTGCGCAATGCCCTCAAGGAGCGTCTTCACCATCGTCGTGTGATATACTTCTGCGACAATGACGCTGCCCGATACGCCGCAGTCCGAGGTTCAAGTCGGGTGTCATCGATGCTTGATCTTATCTTTGCCTTTGACGCTCCCGACCGTGAGTACCCGAGCATAAGCTGGATCTGCAGAGTCCCTTCGTTTTCCAACATCTCGGATGCTCCATCACGGGGCAGAGGGATTGAGGTCCTGGAGATCTGTGGAGCTTTGAAAGTTGAGCCGATGGAGGGCATGGACTCCATGGCTTCACTGTGGGCATCTAGGCGCAAGCGAAAAGGGGGTTGAACGGTGCGCCTGTTGCATAACCAACAGAGGTTTCGCTTCTTGCCATCTGAGGCAGGGGCGGTGGCAACTTTGATGCGACCTTCGCGTGCAAACCCCCTTTCGAGCTTAGCGTGAAAAAGGATCGCAAAATGTCACATTGATTATTGTGACGCTCATGGAGACATCTTATATGGGATACATTCCTGAATGTGAGTTTTTATACATTCTCTCTATAGTCTACAGAGATGACAAATTCATTTGAATAGGAGTGAGCCTCTGGAGTTAAACCTAGAGTGATTCCTCCTGTGATTGTCAACAAAGTCTTTAATCCTACAATAGAATCGGAAAACCCTTTAGTTGATTGTAGAAGATAGCCTTCCGCTTGCGGATAATATTTTCTACCGTCAACTAAACAGGCTCGTTTTAAGAGCCGGGGTTTTCTCCGAATGATTTTAATGTTTCCTTTCCCGTTGAAAGTTTGTTACCAAAGTGTATAAAAACTTGGGAACCGTTGTTTGCATGCAGACCAGAGTCATGTTCTTGCTTGACATACATGAGTTTTCAGAGCATGCAGAATTGTTTGTATTTGGTCGCAAAGGCTCAAACACGGAACCGTTCACAATTTTTGATCCCACCCACCCATCCCGGGGGGGTTGAACGGTGCGCCTGTTGCATAACCAACAGAGGTTTCGCTTCTTGCCATCTGAGGCAGGGGCGGTGGCAACTTTGATGCGACCTTCGCGTGCAAACCCCCTTTCGAGCTTAGCGTGAAAAAGGATCGCAAAATGTCACATTGATTATTGTGACGCTCATGGAGACATCTTATATGGGATACATTCCTGAATGTGAGTTTTTATACATTCTCTCTATAGTCTACAGAGATGACAAATTCATTTGAATAGGAGTGAGCCTCTGGAGTTAAACCTAGAGTGATTCCTCCTGTGATTGTCAACAAAGTCTTTAATCCTACAATAGAATCGGAAAACCCTTTAGTTGATTGTAGAAATGCCCGCGTTGGTCGGATGATTCGCGAGCTTCAGGTCCACGGAGGCGGGCGTGCTCTTGGAGTTGACGTCCAGCTGCAGCGCATCCAGGGCGCTCTGGTTCGCCTTCCCCGCCAGCCCCGTGGTGATGCTGGTGCTGAGGGAGGCGATGGAAGAGGCGTTGGCCGCTATGGATCCTTCTGCTGCTGCCAGGTCCGCTGCCAGAGCGTAGGGGGTCAGAGCAGCGCGGCCACGGCGGCCGAGGTGGTCCCGATGGCCGCCGTGTTGCTGGTGGTCGTTTCCAGCGGGGTGTACTGGGTGAGTATGGTCGCGACCTGGCCAGCCGTGACGCCGGTCACCTCTATCGTGGCCATGGGCGTCTCCCCGTCCTGGAGGACATTCCCTGTGATGCTAGAGGAGAAGAGTGACATGTTTTACTTAGTCGAGGGAGCTGACCCCGGCGCCCGACAGAAGCACGAGCTGGTAGCTCACCATGTGGACATACGCAGTGTTGACGCGGTCGGCCAACATGTGCCGAAAAGTAAACCTAGCGAGGTCCCCGCTGCGCGTCGAGAGCCCGCTGAGGGCGTGCCCGGGAACCCGTTCGACTGGAAATCCGGCAATGAACTGGCCGCCCACGTACTCGACGTCCGTGATGCGCATGTTCTTCACGTCGCTGTCGATCGTCCCGCTCAGGATGCTCAGGAAGTGGTAGAACTCCGCGGGGCTGGACATAGAGTTGTGCGGAAATTGCAGCGATCCCAGCTGCATCTGCCCCTCGAAGTCGTACGGAGCCTGGCCGGGATATTCCATGTTCTTGACGTGCCCGAGCGCGTCGCCGATCCGCTCGAAGGTGACGAAGCAGCCGAGAAGCTTTGTGTACGCCCGCGAAACACTGACATTGAAGCTCGTGGACCCGGCGGGCACGGAAGAGACTTGTGTGTTCAATGTCGGGAATCCGAACGTGAGCGACCTGCCGCTCGTGAGGATTTTCTGGAAGCTCTCCCGGAGCGCCGAATCGAGCACGACGAGAACGAGGTTCAGCTCCGGCGGCAGCATCCTCTTGGCGTTGAAGATGCCCATGAGCGTCGGGGCCATGAGGACGTCCCTGTAGGAGTTGGCCGGCACGGGCGCGGAGTTGCCCCCGTTCCACCAGAAGCCCTCCACGCCCTTGGCGTAGGCCCAGCTGCTGTTCTTGAGGAGCGAGTAGAGGTGACAGCACCTCCCGTACTCCGGAATGTCTTCGATGCGCTGACCCCCGGCGTAGATCTGCACCCTCGACACCAGGCAGGAGGGGTCGGCGGTGGCCGGGATCATGTCGTTCGCCCCGTCGTTGTTGCGGACCCTGAAGGCGATCTTGACGGAATCGGGATCTAGGAATTGTATCCCTGTCGTCAGAGGTATACGCACCATGCGGGTTCCCCCGACGGTCACGGTGGAGACCGACGACGGAAAAAATTGCACATCGGAGCGGCTCTGGATGTAATTCACGTTCGACGTCGATAATTTGTAGTCGAGACTTCGTACCAATTCATCATTGGCTGCAGCAGTCACCTGCTCCATGGTTTACTGTAGCGAAAGATTTCACGCGGCCTCCGGCTCGCTCGCGCTCCGAAGCGCCTCGAAGGAAGGGGGCGGTGCGGCGCGGGACCTCCCTGAGGCTTGACGCTGCATCCGTGGCCCGCGGGACGAGTCGCTGCCCGAGGACTGCGCCACGGAGTTGAGGCCCGTAGGATAGCGCGTGGGCCTCGCGGGACGAGCCTGTGCCCGCGGCGGAGGCTGGGCCCGCGGCTCTTCGTCTTCGGTGTCCATGCGGTAGTACTGCGTCCGCGGCTCTCGAAGCTGGAAGTGCTGCTCGGCCCCGAACTCTTGCATCGCATTCAGGGTCCGGACGTCGGGCACGGAGCTGCGGGAAGAAGCGTCCGTGTCGGTGCCTCCTCCCCCGCCCCAGCCCATCAGGTGCTCGGCCGCCACCATGCCCCCGTGCAGCGCCCACGCGGTGCCCACCAGCGCTGCCCCCGCGCCCGCCACGGCCAGGCCTCCCGCAGCCGCTCCCACCGTGGCGGCCACGGGCAGCGCGGCCTCTCCGGCGGCGGCCAGCCCGGAGCCGATGGCCGCGAGCGCGCCTCCTCCCGCCTCCGCGGTCGCTGCAGCTTCCGCGGCCCCCGCCGCCGCCTCCGCCGCGGAAGCGAAGCCCTCGGTCGCCTCCGCCTCGGGAGCCTCGGCCATCTGCTGGCTCATGAACTGCTCGATGTCGCGGGCCGCCGCCCGCTCCTGCCTATCACTTGTGGTGGAGCGACCTCGTCGGGCGGGGGCGCCAGGCCCTCGGGCACGCGGGGGATGCGCAGGTTCCGGTCGATCCAGTTGCGCCCCCCTCCGCGCTGCGTTGTAGAGGTCTGCTCCGTGCCCCGCGATGGCGGAGGCGGAGCCCGCCAGCCCCGCCGCTGCGCCCGCCGCGGCCTCGGCCTGCTGCAGCCGTCCCAGGAAGCCCGGCGCCGGCGGCGGCTGAAACCCGTCGTTTCTCAGAGCCTGGCCAGGGTCCACGGCACCAAAGTCAGAATCGCTGTCGAAGGCCCGCGGGCGCAGGAAGTCGCGCCTGGGGAAGGGCACCCCGTCGTAGCCCTCGTTGGCGTCCTCGTAGGCCGCCGCGGGATCCACGGTCGTGTGGGGCAGCGGGGCAGGCTCGGGCTCCGTGCTCTCGGGGAGGTCCTGAAGCCAGAAGTGACTGGAAGTCAGGATGGATGCGTTGCGGTTGGGATAGGTGATGGGGAGGGGCTCTCCTTCGGCGATGTAGCCCAGGACCTGCGAGTAGGAAGGTCGCACGCGGAAGCCGTGCGCGCGCCGCTCCTCCATTTACTTAAGCATGACCCGCAGGCCCCGCTTGCCCAAGTAGCTCAGCTCGCTGGCTCGCTGCACCGCCTCGCACAAGTAGCTCTGGACCTCCCGGGTCCGCGTGTCGTACCGCAGGGCCACGCGACGCGGCGTCGTCCAGCGGCGCTTCAGCAAGCCCAGGATCTCCTCGCCCTCCTCGTGCTCCTCCAGCTCATGCTCGAAGGCCAGGGGGATCTCAAGCTCCTTGGACGCCAGCATCCACACGCCGTCTCGAAGCACTAGCAACAGCTCCATTTTACATGAGCCCCCCATAGGCTCCTGACTCGGACGTGTTCCTGCCTGCCGCTACGTCCCGCGCCATCCTGCGCACGCCCGCCCGCTCGGCGGGTGCCCATCTCAACTGGGGGACCCTCCTGTTGACGGCGTCCGTCATGCGCCCCAGCTCGTCGGCGTAGGACTCGCCCTCCTTCCTCAGCCGCCGCTCCGCCAGCCACTTGTTGAAGGCCTGGGCGTCGATGAGCTGCTGGTGGCGCCTGTGCAAGAACGGGGTCAGGTTGAAGCTCGGATAGTGTTTGTGAAACGCCCGCAGCATCGCGGGCTCGTTGCGCCGCTCCGGATACGGCATCATCTTTTAAGAGGTTCAGAGATCCATGGTGTTGGCCATCAGGAGCTCGTGGAAGCGGTCGGCGCGGGAGAGCTGCCGAGCGTGGCGGGCCTCCGAGGGCGTCATTCTGACGGGCTGCTCCAACGGCTGTGCCGAAGGCCGTGCGGCGGCAGGCGCCAGCGGTGGGGGCTCCACTTCGGCGGCGGCGGGCTCCGTGTTGGGCACCGTGTCCACGGGGACCGTCGGCGGCGGCACCCTGGGCTTCCGGGGAGCCTTGTCCTTCGCTCCCGGCGGCCGCCCGCGCCTCTTCGGCTCGGGTTTGGGTTCTTCCGAAGGCCGCTCATTCGAAGGGGGCTCCTCCGAAGGCCGCTCCTCCGAAGGCTGCTCGTTCGCGGGCTCCTCCGAAGGCTCCAAAGGCCGCTCGGGCTCATTCGCGGGCTCCTCCATTTTCCCAATCTAGAAAAATCGCGAAGCTCACCGAGGTCCCGCGAGTGTTGACAACCTCGCCGTCCAGGTCGGTGAGGCGGAAGCGCAAGTAGCGCAGCGTGATGGGACCGTGCAAGTTCACGAAGTGGCCTTCATCCGTGCGGCTGTGGAGGACGTGGCCCACGCCGCGGTCCACGATGATCTTCGCGATGATGTCGGAGCCGAGGGGGCCGAGGATGTGCTCGCGCGCGGCGAGGGCGGGGCAGCGAAGGTAGAGCTCCGAGAACGGCGCCATGACCACGAAGGAAAAGATCTGTTGGGCACCCGAGATGAAGCTGGGGCCAAGCAGGTGGTTGATGCTCTCGGGCCTGGTGGACGACACGCCCGGCGGATAGCCCGGGCCGTTGGGGAAGGTGAGCCTCAGATCCTGGTTGTTGAGGATCACTCGATTCCCGTCGTAGGCGACCTGAATCTCGTTCGTCGAAGCGACGTACGTGGCCGCCGCGTAGTTGCTCGAGATCCACGCGGCCAGCCGCTCCCCCGTGTAGGCGCCCGCCGGCAGCTGGGCGTAGTGCAGCGTGCCCCCCGAGACGTCGTGCCAATAGAGGTAACTGCCACGGTCCGTGGAGAGGAAGGCGTCGGCCACGCGGATCTTGTGCACCGCCAGCTTCGCGCCCGAGTCGATGTGCAGCGTCTCGCCTAAGTCGATCTCGAAGTCACTGTCGGTGCCCGCCACGCGCTTCCGCGAGTCGATGTAGATCGTGGACATAATGGGGACCCTTTTCCTTAAGCGGCGGAGAAACCGCGTGGGGCGCGCCGAGAACTCGCTGGCGTTGGAGCTGTCGGAGGTTTGCCTGGGGCGCTCCGTTGGGGGCCACCGGCTGGGGTCGTAGATGCCCTGGGTGCTGGTGCAGCAGCGCACGTTCGAGCACTCACTTTCGCACATCGGACCCCCGCCCAGAAGCTTGGCCGCCATCTGCGACAGGATCGTCCCCATCGCCGTTTACGAGGAACTTCCGATCCCAACGAACCCAAAACATATCCTCTTTGGGAGCGCGCAGACTGACGTACCAGAAGCTGTAGGGCTCCCTGGTGGCCTCCTCATACATCGAGAAGAGGGTCTCCTTCGGGAGCATGGCGCTGAGCTCCTCCACCAGGGCGTCCAGCTCCAGCTGGTTGCGCAGGCGGAAGACGCAGTAGAACATGGTGTTGACCCGCACGGCGCTGCTCATAAGTCGCAATTTTTGGGTGCTCACCCAACTCGAGATACAGTAGTGCCGGCCACGAATAAACAGCGAGTCCAGAACGCCGTCGCCTGTCTTCCGGTGCACGGCGGGATTGTCAGCTAGGTCGTCGAGGACCACGAGAACCTGGTAGAGCTTTTTGAGGCCCAACTCCTTGCTCTTCTGGGTGATGCGCTTTTGGTCCGCCATGATCTTCCGGAGCGCCCCCTCGTCCCAGTCCTCGAAGAAGCACTGCTCTCGGTCCGTGTTCACGCCCAGCTCGTCCCTGACGTAGTCCTTGACGGGCTGCCAGGCGGAATCAATCATCACCGAGGGGCTGAAGACAAAGATGCGCGAGAAGCAGCCCTTATACTGAGAGAGGATCATTGACACGAGCAGAACCGTCTTCCCGGAAGCCGACGGAGCGCACAGGATCCCATTGGCAGGGAGCCTGCAGACCACTGGATCTGGGGGTTGCTGGACCTCGTACTGAGGCGTCTTGAACAGTTTCACGGGCGCCATTTACCCACACGGCACGATAAAGCTCGTACAGCCCGCAGCACATTCTTTACTGACCCCACCAGGTTGCGGGCAGCCCGACCACGCGCACGCCCTCGGGCGCCTGCTCGTCCACAAAGCCCTCCACTGCGGCCTCGGCCGCGTCAAACAGGGCGTTGAAGGCGGCCGCGTCGCCAACGTAGAAGCAGGACTCGCCGTTTCGGAGTCGCTTGCGCTTCAAGATGCGCTCCGCGTCCGGGTTGAGACGCAACACCAGGCCCGGCAAGCCCACGTCGGCGGCGATGAGCTCGAGGCGGGTGTCTTCGTCCGCACATCCATGGCCGTCCTCGTCGACCTCGACCTGCACGAAGCGGTCTTCGAAGCGGTAGAGCATGTCGGGGCGCTTCAGCGTGCAGCCTCCGGGCACGGGTCGGCCAGCATGAGATGCTCCTTGCGGACTTTCAGCTTCGCGCGGTCTGGGTACTGGGCGGTGAAGCAGCCCCAGCACAGACGCTGGACTTCTGGGCCTCGAAACCTCGCAAGGGGAGGCGACTCCAGCGTAGCGCAGGCCTCGGAGGTGCAGCGATACCCGCCGCCATGCACAGCGCACGCCCGGACCTCGCCGCCGCTCTGCACCTGCCTTTGACAGGGGCCTTCCGGGGTTGGATGGAGACACAGCCGCCGCTTCCCTCCGCCGTGCTTCATGCACGCCCGGACCTCGCCGCTCTTCGCAAGCTTCTGACACGGGCCCTCGGGTGTGGGATGCAGACATAGCCGCCGCTTCCCTCCGCCGTGCTTAATGCACGCGCGGACCTCGCCGCCGTTCGCCACCTGTTTTTGACAGGGGCCTTTGGGGGTTGGATGAAGACACAGCCGCCACTTCCTTCCGCCGTGCTGAATGCACGCGCAGACGCCGCCGCTCGCCAGCTTTTGACAAGGGCCTTCCGGGGTTGGATGGCGACACAGGCCACCCCCGTGCTCGCGACACAGGCCGTGCGCCACGGCTCTCTCGCCGCAGGGGCCCTCGGGAGTGGGCTGGACACAGAAGTACTTGGGCATGGGCATGGCTCACGTTTCTTCAAGTCTGCCGGGAGTCCAACGTCTCCGTGACCGATCGAATTGGTTTTACCCCCTACAGGCGAGGAACCGCCCGCCGCCGCGCGTGAGTCCAGGGGCCCGGTGGGCGTTTGAACGCAGTCACGGCACGGCGGCCGTGGCCGCGTCCGCTATCTCGTCGCAGAGCGCGGGTGGAATGGAGTATAGCTGGTTCCTGGTCTGGCAGTTCTTCCGCTTCAATGAAGGTCCTCTCTGTGCAGCTTGCGGGTGGCCCCGGCCATCGAAGGCCTGGCAGCGGTTCCCTTTTCTGCAGACGCCGCGGGATGGCGTCCAGGGTAGCGTGCCCCAAATGCGGGTCGGCTTGCGGTAGAGATACCCCCAAACACAGTAGCAGGTGTCCTGAAAGGGCAAGCCTGCCATGAAGGCCCGCGTCTTAAGCAATCCTGTCTGCGGGTTCTCGAGGGCCCACCAGCGCGGGCGGAGGTAGGCGAGGATCTCTAGCGTTCGGAGCACCACCGCGTCGGCAGCCTCCAAGTTGCGCGGGCGAGTGCGCAGCGCGACGCTGAATTCTGTACAGGGAGGTGACGTCCAGATGAAATCGAAGTGGCCCGGTTCGAAGGCCTTGTAGTCCCAGGTCATGACGTCCGCCACGATGGTCGGGCGTGCCTTCGGATCCATGTCGAGGCTCGTCACCTCCCACTCGCGCGCCTCGAAAGCTCGGCCGACGGACCCCGTTCCGGAAAACAGCTCCAGCATCCGCGGCATTCCTTTTTTACATTGTTGGCGATGGGCAACGCGATGGGCAACGCCTATGATGGGCAACTTGAGGTGCCCAACTCTACGTTGCCAAGTCGGCCCAGGGCTCCTCCTCCCAGGGTCTCGCGAGGACCCACAGCACGGCGACGCCGCTGGCCAGCGTCAGCGCGACGCAGAGGAACTCCCCGAAGCTCACGGGGCTGGTGCGTTCACAGGACGACATTGTTTTTTATGTCGACAAGAAAACGCCATGAAGATCGAGACGATCATGCTGGGCAAGGTTCTTACAAACAGCAAGGGCGGTCGCTTTATCCCGCTGCGTACGGAGGGCGGCAGCGATGCGCCCACATGGAGAAGTGAGTGGCTCCGGGTACTGTGGAACCCATCCAGCTTTGGCGACCCCGAGGCGGTGCGCGTGGCCCTGTGCCTGGAGCCCGACGACGCCGCCAAGACCTTCTTCCGCGAAACGGAGGAGCGGGTGACCAAGGCGCTGTCGGAGCACTCTCTGCACGACACCCGCATCTTCGGCAAGCCCCTCAAACCAGAGGAGGTGAAGGAGCGGATGGCCAGCGCTGTCAAGACCAGCACACGCGGCACGGAGTTCCTCAAGTTGAAGCTCCACTACGACAAGGTGCGTTTTTGGGGACCGCAGGGCGAGGAGCTGCCGACGCAGCAGTGGGACCTGCAGGGTTGCCTATGTAAGGTCCACGTGGAGCTGCGCCAGGTGTTGCTCATGACCTCCCAGTGCGGCGTGCTGGCCGAGGTGACTGACGTGATGCTGCAGCAGTGCGAGGCGCCGAAGCCGCAGTGCCCCTTCTGAACGCGTTCGCCGGACCGAAGCTGCCGGGGGGCGGGTAAGAAAAAATGTCTAGGTCTTGGGCGCAGCAGCGCGAGAGCATCCGGCGGGCCGTGGAGGCGGGCGTCTCCGCGCACACCTCCCCGCAGGGCTCGGAGCTCCTGCGTCTCCAAAACGCCCAGCAGCTCCTGCTCGCCCGGCCGGACGGGCAGCCCACGCGCGCAGGATCCTTCTACTACCAGCTGGTCGGGAGGCGCCCGCCTTCCCGGCGCTTCAACGAGGCGCAGCCGCTCGTGCGCGACGGCCCGAATGACTACGTTGTTTTGAGAAGCGGCGCCAAGAAACTGGCGCGTAGCCTCCAGCCCGACGGCAGCTACCGCGTCACGAAGCTGGGCAAGGCCTTCTTTCGTGAGAAATGGACTGACTACATTGCGCACGCTCCCGTGAGGATCCGCGGGAGACGACGAGGGGGGCAGGCCTACCAGAGGGACGACTTCCTGCCCGTGGTCCTGGATGGTCTGGGGCGGCAGAACGACGGGTTGGGTGAGGTGCAGGCGCACCGAAACGTGATCGCGGCCGCGCTCCGCAAGCTGGGAAACCCCGAGGACGGCGACGTGATCATGGAGCTCTCTGACGAGACCTACCACTACGACGCCTCGCGGGACTGGGGCGTCTCGAAGCAGACGATGCAGGTGGCGCAGAACCAGGTGAACACGGAGGTGACGCTGCGCCAGCCCCTGGGCGCGCTGCGGTACCAGCTCTTCAGGGGCTCGGAGGTCCTGGAGAGCGCCTTCGAGGAGCGCGACGACAGGCTCTGCGTGGTGCGCCAGGTCTCGGAGCTGCTCCAGCTGCCCTTCGAGGAGGTCTACTCGGATTTCGACGCGATCTGCCCCAAGGGCTGGGAGCGCAGGGGCGTCACCGGCAAGGAGATCCGGCAGTTCTGCGAGTGGCGCAAGGCGCCCCTGTTCATCGTGAACTGCCGAGGGCAAATGGTCGACTGCTACGAGCCGCCCGTGAAGGAGGAGCGAGCACTGGCGTTGTGCGGTCGCGACCACGCCTACTTCTACAAGAGCGCGCGGGCCGTGGCCTGGTGCGACGGGGAGCCACGAGACACTCCGAGCTACCGAGGCGAGCGACGGCAGTCCACCGTGCCGCCCTTCGGCGAGTGGCAGGAATGGTTGGGCACCCTCGAGCCAGGGCACTACTGGGCCAAGGACCTGCGCGTCGCGCGCTCTCGCCTGCTCGCGGAGGGCCACCAGCCCAAGGTGGTCCTGCGGGGGCTCGTGGAGTGGCGCTACCTGCGGCTGCGCGTGCGGGGGCAGGGAGACTGTATCATTCACGAGCATCCCGAGGACGCGGAGGTGCTGGACGCGTGGATGGGCAAGCTGGGCTTTGTCTACCGCGGGCAGCGACTCGCGGGCGCGGCGAGCGAGGTCTTCGCAGCGCTCCTGAAGGCGCGCCGGGAGCGGGGCGACGTGCAGCGACTGCTGCAGGAGCAGCGGGGAGCCTGCGCGCTCTGCGCCGCGCCCATCGACGCGGGCAGCTGCGAGGCGGACCACGTGGTGCCTGTGCACCAGTCCTTCTTCGGGCAGCGGCAGCGGCTGTAGGCCCTGTGCCTGGAGTGCCACCGCGCGAAGACGTTCCTGGAGTGCTCCCACGCCACGACCCTGGAGAGCCGCTTCTGCCGCCACGTCTACGAGAGCTACGCATGCTCCCCGCGCCTGCCCCCGCTCGTGTGCGGGCTGTCGAAGTGTAACCCCGACAAATTGTGCCAGGGAGTGGACGTGGTGCGGTGTCGGAAAAACGCGCTGGCCAACGCCCCCTTCCCGCTGCCCGTCTTCTGCCCGCTGGACAGTATCCGCCCGGCGGAGGAGGGGCAGCTGGCAGACCTCACCTTCGTGCGGAAGCGCGAGGACAAGCGCGCGGGGTTTTTGGCGCGGCTGCCCTACGTCGGCCCGGGCTGGTACGGGAAGCCGGCGGTGGCCTACATGCTCGACGCGGGCCTCGCGAAATGGGCGGATTTCGAGTGGTCGCTGGAGGCCACGGCCCACGTGGCGCCCGACTGCCTGGCGCGGGCGCTGGAGATCATGGAGACGGCCTGGCCGGAGGGGAAGGAGCACTTCGCGAAGCTGAGCGTGAACGCGCTCATCGGGCTGTGGGCGCGCTCCAAGGACGTCTACTACTCCATGAGAACGAGCAGCCACGAGGCGGACGCCTGGGGCTCCCAGTTCCTGCAGGTCTTCTTCGACGCCGCGGGCGCCTGCCACTACGACCACGTCTACGCCACGGAGCTCTTCACGAACCGCTCCACGCGCCCGGCGCACGACTTCGTGATGGCCTCCGAGTACGTGGCGATGGCGAGGATCCACCGCGCGCTGCGGGATGTGCCTCCCCGCCACCTGGTGGCGCTGAAGACCGATTGCCTCGTGTACCAGAGCCTGCCGAAAAAGTTCCTCCCCGCCATGGAGGCGCTCACACGGCAGCGGCATCGGGACGGCACGCCGAAATTTCGGTTTGAAGAGGTAAAGCGGTTGGGGGGAGACTACCGAGAGCCGCGGCTGGAGACGGAGCCGCCGCCGAGGCAGGAGCCCTGGAGGCACGTGGAGGACCCCGTGGCGCACTGTCTCGACGGGGAGAGCCTGCTGCTGCTGCTCTCCGGCATGCCGGGCACGGGGAAGACGCATTTGGCGAGGCGGATCGTGGCGCAGCTCTCGGCGCAGGGCGAGGACGTGACGCTCATCTCGAAGACACACTGCAGTGTGCAGAACCTGGGCCTGGGGGCGCAGACGGCGGACCTCTGGGTGCGGCGCACCATCCGCGCGGGCCGCTGCGCGCTGGACTGGCTCGTGGTCGAGGAGGTCACGCAGCTCGACGTGGGGCTGTGGGCCGACATCGCTGAACTGTCGACGAACCGACGGGTGCGCTTCCTGCTGCTGGGCGACTTCCGGCAGCTGCCCGCGGTGCAGGACGCCTTCGGGGGCTCGCAGGTGCTGCGCTCGCTGAAGGAGTCGCAGCTGCTGCACGACCTGGCGGGCGGCTGCGTGCACGAGCTCACGGAGAACCGGCGCAGCGACGAGACGATCTTCCGCTTCCTGCAGTGGCTGCGCGTGGACGAGCCCGAGCAGGCGCCGCTGCGGGAGGCCGTGCAGGCGGCCCGGGAGCGGTTCCCGCGGCGGGGCCACCCCGACACCTGCCTCGTCATCTCCCACGCCCACAGGATGGCCATCAACGACCGAGAGAACAAGAGGCTGGCCCCGTCGGAGGGCGCGCTGGTCGTGGAGCACCGGGCGCCTCAGCAGGCGGGCACAAACCATGAGAGTGTGGCCAGGGCTGAGGCTCGTGGGCGCGGGGGGCAGGGTGCCCAAGGGCTGCTTCGCGACGGTGCGGGAGGTGGCGGAGGAGCGGATCTCGCTGGACGACGGGCAGAGCTTCACGCCCGCGGAGCTGCTGCGACACACGCGCCTCTGCCACGCGATTACCTACGCCTCGTGCCAGGGCCTCACGCTGCGGGGGAGAGTGTGGCTCTGCGACGCCGACAACCCGCACTTTTCCGTAAAACACCTCGACGTGGGGGCGTCGCGGGCCACGAGCGCGGAGCTGCTCAGCGTGCTGTGAGGACTTGCACCCCGCTGCCCTTGAGGGTGGTGCGCGACACGCACCACCCCCAGAAGTCCCCGAAATGGTGCTTAATTGCGCCCCGCTGCCCTTGAGGGTGGTATGTGTCGCATACCACCCCCCGGAGTCCCCGAAATGGTGCTTAGCACCCCACTGCCCTCGCTTGAGGGTGGTGTGGTACACGCACACCACCCCCTAAGAGTCCCGAACCGAGGCCTCGGCAGCCGGTTGTCGTCATACGACGACAATCTCAAGCTGCTTATTAATTGCACCCCGCCGCCGTCGCTTGAGGGTGGCGGCTCGCTGCCCTGTGCAATCCCGAGGAATCCCCGGGGCTGCCCAACGCGTTTCAACACAGGTGTCACCTGTCTTCAATCCTCGCTGTGCAATCCCGAGGATTCGGATGGACCGGGCTGCCCAATAGTATGCATCCAGGCCCTCAATCGGGTGCCCAATCGCGTGTGATCTAACACCAATCGTGGCCGCAAGGTGATTTGTCCCGTAACTTTCGGTGCTGGATCTGTCAGTCAACTTGACTGACAGATCGGGAAATTTCCCGACTTGACTGACAGGTCGGGAAATTTCTCAAGCGCCCTGCGCAGGTCTTTGTCTGAGGGGCCCAGCCATCCCGAGGATTCCCCGGGATGAGGTGCCCAAACAACGACATTCGGCAAACAGAAGCGAGGCCGGAATTCCGACTTCGGTCGTGGGTCCATTTTTTGGCATTTTTGCTTTATTTTCCAAGACAGCCCAAACAACGGCATTCCGCTACCAGTTTCGACACCACTGTCACCGTTCATCAAAACTGATGAACGGTGACAGTGGCATAAAAACAAAGCATCCAGGCTCTCAATCGGGTGCCCACGGGGGGTGGTGTACACCACCCCTCACAGACCCCTCCTCGCTGTTCCCGGGTACCTCTCTCTTAGAGAGGAGTGTCCCCGCACCCCTACATTACAGCTGAGAGGATCGGAGATTGAAGTTTCGAGTATACAGTCCCAGGACGAAACGGGATTATATTCCACTTTCGACCCTCTCAGTAGCTCATCTGTGCCCCGATTTCCCGCCCCGAAATTTGCGGAGTAGGAGGAATCGCATCACAGTGCAGTTCTGGGCTGCGGACCTGTGGAGTGCCACCCCTTCTTCTCCCCTTGGCTCCCCTTGGCTTGGGGCTGGGGGCTGGGGTTGGCTTTCTTTTCTGCCCTGCTTCTCTGGCTTGGCTTGGGGGCTGGGGGCTGGGGGCTGGGG